AAATACCGATCAATCTGTCTTTGGATTTACATATACACACATACATATATCGCGTTGTGGAATGTTTGAAGATGATATGAAATTATACATGTTTGTTGTGTATTGATGACGACTATAAGTACCAATATATAGTTTGGTTTTCTTTTTTTTTCGTAAAAATTGCCTTTTTTTTTTTTTGTTTTTGCCATTTTAGTAACAATCTTCCAGCAGTTACTTTCATTCCTCTTTTTTTTTTTTTTCTTTTGCCTCATGTCTCTTATTTCATTGAGCATTGTTCTTCAATTTTTTCCCGTCTTTTTTTGTTTTTTCTAAAGGCATATTCATTAGTGGTCTTCCTTCTTTTTTGAAAAAAACATTAAAAGGGATGTATAATATATGAGGGCAAGTAAAAATACATGCAAAAAACATACGAAATCACGAAATAGAATAAATATTGGGAATTGTTTTTTTTATTTTTTTTGTTGTTGTTGTTGTTGTTGTTGTTACGTTGTATATGAAGGAAATTCGACAATACATTTGGGCAGTTGTAGTTTTCGTTTACGACAATATTTATTTCCACTAAAATTTTCTTCATCACTTTTTATTTCTTTTGACATTTTATCTGCATTAGTGAATCAGAATTTGAATTGAACCTTAATAACATATTAACATATCCACGCATTTCCAACCCCAGTAATTTGTAGTTTTATTTCTTTATTTATTCATTTGTTTGTTTTTTTATTTACTCTTTTTTTCGTTTGTTTCTTGTTCAGTTTTTATTTATTTTAATATGGTCAAGCTAAAAGACATATTTATTGTTTATTGTTTCTACCGATTACCTATTATTTCATTTTCTTTCTTACCTATCTGTATCATTCCTATTTGTTTGAATTTGGGAAAAATTGAAAATAGAGCTGAGAAGCAGTGTAAAGGATGAGCTAACAGTTTTTTCTTTCTATGAATAGAATCGCACATTTCAAAGGTTTAATTTGGTTTCTCTATTCATTGATTTATTATGAAGTTTAATTGAAGTTGACTTATACTTCCCAATCGATTATTTTTTTTCTTTTGTCTGTTTCTTTTTTCTCTTGTTTTTGTTTTATTTCTTTTTTTTTTTTGTCTTAACAGCTAGATAAATATGTGGTAACCATAATTGATGCTTATGTATTTTTTTTTTTGTTGGAACCGGTTAAAATAATAAGTAGTGCTGCTGATACCTATTAGGTACTCTGAATACTATTGTGGATTTTGAGTTCTGAAACTTACAGTCATCTAGTTCTTTCAGTCATAAGTGCGCGGGAGATTTGTCAAACTATTGCTGTTTCCTTAATTTTGATCTTCCACGTAATTTATTTAACAATAGGTAGTTTTAATACAATAAATTGAGCAATTTCTAATTGATATCTCAGGACATTTTTAATTTTGTATATTGCCAAGTTATTCATTCTGGAATTCAAAAATTATACCGGGTTCTGTCTCAAAATGGCTGCTCTTGGAAACTAGTAACATTGTGAAAAATTAGCAGAATTTAGATCTTTGTTTCGCCTGGTAGCCTCTCCTCCCATTTTGAAAGACTTTCTAAAATTATGCAGTTTGAAAATGTTTGCATAGGCAGTACGGAAGATGTAGACCGTTAAATTTTTTAAAAAGGTGTAATTTGTAGGATTTTATGCTCTACAAAGTATTAAAAGCAAGTTGGACATTCGTTTGAATCATAAGTTAATCGATGAGAAGTATTGTATAACGGTTGAAAGTATGCTCTGCGTCGTTCCAATGTCGTACCGTTAACCAATTTTTTGCGGCTTGCATAGTGCAGTTACTTAAGCAGTTCAGATGAAGTTTTTAAAATTTATAGAAAAATCACTTAATTTATTCGTGTGATGCTTTACTCTTCTAATAGCTCTGAGGAACAACGTGAAAAGTGTTATTTAGTTTTACGTGGAAGCGTCTAAGGCTTAGCGCAGCATAGGTTCGGTAAGGATGAAAGACGCGGCGTAAGGAAGGGATGTCGTCACATCGCAAAAATAGATTATTTTATGTTTTAATTTTTACCTTTTTAAGATGGAGTTTTCTTTGGAAGTAGTTCTGTATAATCAACCAGACTGTGCTGTGCTGTGCTGTACAACTGCGTTATTTTGTGAAGTGAAACGGGAGATGGAAGGTTAGACAGGGAAGTGTATTCTGTCGCAATATAACTATGTAAGACTGCATCAGAATGCGCTTACGCCAATTAGTTCACAAAAACTAAACAAAATACGCTGGTCGAGGCTGAAGAATGAAGCTTGTTTTTGGGAGCGCATCAGTTACTTGGTGCTTTTTCCGGCATGGAACGCAGATGATCATGGGCGAAAAGAAAAAAGGCTCTTCCCCAATGAAGGGCGAGGACAACTTCTGTAGTTACAGTGTTTGAACAACACCACCCCCACCTTGATCCTAGGTGATAAGCAGTTTGGTTAATGGCGTGACGATTAAACGACGTATTTCGGCGCACTTGTCATTTTGCAGTACTTCTCACTGAACAATTTGTAGCTTTACTGAGTGCCTAAGGTGTGCTCTTCTTACTTTATAGAGCACAAAAATCTGCATCTTATTTGTCGTTTTGGGAGGATTTGAAAGCCCACTTTTTACTATCACCGTTAACATTAATCTCGTTTTTTTTTTTTTTTTTTCTTTTACATTTGATGTAAAACTGTACAGGTTTTGAAAGTGGTGGACACATTATATCAATTGATTTAAAAATTTCTCACGCTTGTTAATTCTTCGTTAGGTTATTTTTTTCAGCTTTTACGGAATTTACCGACACTAAAAAATCAATTTAGACTTTAAGTTTCATTTTTCTTTTGATTCTCATTATATAGTTTTTTTTATTTTTCTCTTGTTCGAAAGAATTGGATATACTTCTGTAGCTTTTTACTTGTTACATACGCAAGGGAACCAAAAAAAAAGTGGAATATCGACGTTAGGCAAAGCGGGAGGGGGTTATTTTTTTGTTAATGGAATGTCTAAAAGGGATTCTGAAGTCTCGGAATCGTGCTGTTAGCGAAAGTGTCTTTATTGCTATCAGTTTGATTTATTTTCAGCTACTTTCTCTGAGAAGAATTGAATTTATTGTTTATGGTTGAACGAATACAGGCAAACAGTGAGTTTGCTTGTTCTTCAATTTTTTCCCCTTTATCTTCTCGTTTACATTCTGTGTAATACATCAGCTTGTTTTTCAATAAACATTGGAGAAAGTTAGTTTTTGTTGGTAAAAAAATCGCTTCATTTTCTCATAAGCTGTTAAGGATAAGTTTTATTGGGCAGTCACGGTTTCTTGCTCTTGCTTTTGATGTTTCACCTGTGCTTTTTTTGCGGCAGTTATAACAAGATCCGTGTTTATTTTCAACTTTGTGGTCAGAGTTTTTTTGAGTTGCAGAAAGCTTCTCAGTAAAATTCAGAAGAATTCGAATTTCCCCTAGACTCCACTGCATAATCACATCCTGATCAGCCTTTTAAAGTGTTCTACCAAGTAGTTCAGAAAGAACGGTGGAAGTTTTGTTCATAGATGGTTTTAGTGATATATTCGTCTAAGGAGACTGATATCGCGTGGTTGTGTCTTGAATGAATAAGTTAGCTTGCCTGTCTAAGGCAGTGCTTTTTTCTCAATACTAAATGACTTGATGTTGTTGCACAAATGATGCATCGTTCTTAAGCTTGTTTTGGCTTATATGAATTTTTCGTAGTTTTCAGATATCTTTCAAACTTTTGTTAGTTGTGATGGAATATAGAGTTGTATTTTTTGGCATTTTTGCTCATCCAGTGCTTTAACTTTTTTTTTTTT